CAGCACCACCTAGCAATTCCGTGAGTCCGCCGAGGGCGGTGAGGCTAGATAGGGCGTTGAGGGCTCCTGGCTTGCTTAGCAGCTGAGCCAAGGGGATAGCGCTGGCCAAAGGAGAGGCAGTGGTGGTGGTGGTAGAAGGGGAAGCACTGGCCCCGGATGCCCCGGGAGTGGTACCGCTGCCAGGGGTTTGGGTATTTTGGGCCTCTAGGTTAGCTTTCTGCAATTCGACACTGGGGAAAAGACACAAAATGTAAAAAGGTGAGGGCGGGAACGTTTCCTCTCGTAAAACAGTGTCAAAGAGATTAAAACAAAAACATAAAAGATGACGAAAAATAAAGAAGAGAAAAATAAAAGTAAGAATAAAATTGTAGAAGTAGTAGCAGTAGTAATAAGAGTAATAGTAGCAGTAATAATAGTAGGAGTAGTATTAGAAGTAGTAATAATAGTAGTAATAGTAGTAGTAACCGTAATAGTGTAGTAAGTAGTAGTAGTGGTGGTGGTGGTAGTGGTAGTGGTGGTGGTGGTGGTGGTGGTGGTGGTAATGGCAGACGTAATATTAATATCGTAGTAGTAGAAGAGATTTAGAAATAGTAATAGTAGTAGCTGCCGCGGAGTATTATCGTACGTTAAGACAACGTAAAAGACCACATCAGAAGAGAAGAAGATAAAAATTAAATCATAGAAAGGTTGTAGGCTTAGAGAGTTACGCCAGAGGTGCTCTGTGGAACGTGATTATCACGTACACCGGCTACGTGGTTCGTGGGAAAGTCTTGGTCGCATCAGGCCGCACTCAGACCCTACCGAGTGTTCAGCGTGCTCGAACACTAGACAGATTATGTCCAAAAGTACGAAACGCTGAACACGAGAGCCGCGTCGAGATGCGTCCGTGTCGCGAGGGATACGCAGTAAGGATGTACCATGAAGATATAGATACGCATCCCGCTAATCTACATTCAGAGAATATAAGTACAAGTTCCTACGGGGTTGAGAAGAAAAAAAAAATGGGAAAGAATTACAGGAAAGAATGAAAGAGGAACATGTCACATCCACCGCTAGTAGTAGATTTGCAAACGATGCGGTTATTTTTTAAGTGTGATGAGGCAGCACGTGGCTCGTTGTACGATCGGACGCACTGTCGAGAGAGGAAACAACAACCCACCACCTTTAGTGTTCTCCGTATCCACTCGTCCCCTACGCTGTTTGGCGTAAAAAAAATAAAACAAAAAAGGAACTGAAATAAGTCTCTCTCTCTCTCTCTCTCTCTCTCTCTCCCTCCCTCCCTCCCTCTCTCTCTCTCTCTCTCTCTCTGCGGTGCGCCGGTAGAACGAGTCACGGCCACGTGCGGCTTACAAGAACGAGACAGAAATCAAAAGTAAATTAGGCGCAACGATATGCACTCTGCCAGAAGCCGAGGCGAGCCGTGCAGACGCGCCGCGCGTTGTCGTCGCGCCTGCCGCTGCTCTGCTGCTGATACGGTGACATCGTGAAGGTACGCGACGCCTAACCGCGTGTGCCTAACCGCGACTCTGTGGGTGGGTCGATAATTGACTCGTACATCACAAGCGTCCGAACGGGAAGCTGGATTGGATGGATGGATGGATGGATGGATGGATGGATGGATGGATGGATGGATGGATGGATGGATGGATGGATGGATGGATGGATGGATGGATGGATGGATGGATGGATGGATGGATGGATGGATGGATGGATGGATGGATGGATGGATGGATGGATGGATGGATGGATGGATGGATGGATGGATGGATGGATGGACGGACGGATGGATGGATGGATGGATGGATAGCAGGCAGGCAGGCAGGCAGACAGACAGACAGACAGGCAGGCAGGGAGGCAGGCAGGCAGGCAGGCAGGCAGGCAGGCAGGCAAGCAGGCAGGCAGATAGGCAGCAGGCAGGCAGAGTGCAAACCTTGGCCGACAGGAGTGCTGGGACACACGATAACGTAATAAACACGGTATGATAAAAGTTGAGACGGGTGAGAAGTACAAGAAGTATCGAGATGATACATATAATACACACGGCCGCTATTTAAAACGCAGTAGTAAAATGTGAGTGGCAATCTGGAATAAAATATAATGGATTATAATTATAACGTGTATATGTATATGCGTGCGTGCGTGTGCGTATGTATCTATGTGTGTATGTAAATATAATGGGTATGTAATATTATACGTAATATGCATGTGTGCGCGTACGAGTGTCGATCCACGTATTTCGGCTGATGCTGGTGGGATTTTAACATATGTTTCGCGAATTTTTACATCGTCGTCCGCGAATCCCATGGACGACTACCGTTAATACCGTTCACCACTTTGCGTGTCGTTACGATGGGGGCAGATTAGTCCAACAGCGTGATGATGAAAAGAAAAATAAAGGGAATAAAAATAAGTAAAAATACATGCGAACGTAAAGAACGAATCTCTCGAACACCGATCGACGAATGTGTGTAAGCGGTGACGGATAACAGCCAGATGAAGCGTGTAACTGAAAATGTAAAGATGCCACCGGCTCAAGAGGTTCCCGACAAGGACCAGGGCGAGAAGATACCTTTCGCGTCATAATTGTGCACAGTAAACGAGCCATTCGGATAATAGCACACCTGAAAGGTACCATCTCCCCCCCCCTCTCTCTCTCTCGCAAACGTATATTCGCAAATCAAATTAAAACGGTAAAATAGAATTACGAAGCGGTATTAAAATGTTAACCCCTCTTGCTCCCCGTAGTGTTGCCTCGAAAGCGACATCGTTAATGACGTTACAAGGTCGCAGTTATGCTCCTCGCTTTAGCGTGAAATCGCATTTACATCTGTGTGGTTCCTCTCTCGGACGAAGGGAGTTGAAGGGTAGGGGGTGGGTATGCATACATAGTATGTCATATATTATGCGCTGGTTATATATATATATATATATATGTACATACACATATATGTGTATATTATATATATGTACATATATATAATATAGAAGACATATGTTACACATAGAAGCTACTTCGGGTTTGAAAGGGTTAAGCTAATCGTCCATTACCGGGGAGCCTGTCGGACTGGAAAGAAACCGGATCATTAAAAAACCGAATCGAAAGGAGGAAGTGTGCGTGTGTTTGCGTGTGTGTGTGTGTGTGTGTGTGTGATAACGTCCGTTCGGGACCGTTTCGGGATTGTCTATGACCGAGATTCACTGAAAGGATGCGACAACAGTCTTCGTTGTATCATGTTCTCTTCCTTTTTTTGGACATTATTTCTTTCTGTTTTTTTTTCTTTCTTTTTCTTATTTTGGCACTCGTTTTCGTCTGGGTCGGTGATGATGGTAGTAGTAGTAGTAGTAGTAATAGTAGTAGTTGATTTGCTTGAAAGGACAGCCAGCGACAATTGGGAAACAGATGTTGAGCGGAGTTGTGTCTGCAGGATACTCGGGGTTAACTGGACCTGGAAGGCAGGACCTGGAAATAAAGGATTAAGATCCTCTTCCCCGTCTTTGCTGGCCGACGTGGGTGTCGTCTTCCGGTATCCGTGAGCACTGGCTGGACGGCTCGATCATCGGCCTCTCGATCGTCGTCTCGTCGCCGGTGTCTTCTCCTCTCGTGCGATCTTACGACTACGCACGACCTGTTCCGCTATAAACTCGAAGTGGCGTTACGCGATGGACCTTACTACTCGTCTGTGCACTTGGTCGCTCTTTCGGCGATGTACTCTCGCGTCGCCATCGACGCGATACTCGCGTTCTACACGCTGTCTCGTCTCGACGAAAAACACGAGTAGTATATCTTCCTCGTCGTAACGTCACCTCTCCTGTAACGTCTCTCGCGACGAGACGCGTCGCAGATGACTTTCCCGATGGCCGATCGCTCTCCCAGCAACGAAGCAATCTTCTCCAATATACCCGCGTGTATATATATACATGTCGACTTGTTATATTTGTTCAAGAAATAAGATACACTTGCTCCGTAATCAAGTCGTCCTCTTCAAGTATGTGGACAAGATGAAACATGGTTAGAAAAAAAAATTCTTACTCTTAAAATTTTATCTATGTTTTACTGTAACTTCCATTAGAATTCACGATGCCTAAGAGGCAACGGGTTCAAACTCAAGAAAAAAAAAAAAAAAAAAAAAGGAAGAACGGAAGTCATCTGCGCGCGGATCCTCGCGAGCAAGGATGGCAATAAAGATGATGGGGGGGGGAGGGTTGCCGTGAGGGAGATGCCGATTCGATTATCCCTTACATAGTCTCGTCACTAAGACACCAAAGTCGAGTGAGGCAATAGTGAGGTCGAAGTGAGGAAGTACAATTAACACAAAAATAGACGGCGAATCGGCCGGGTTCCTGAATCTCAAGAAGAAGGGGGGCGCGGGGCGGGGTGGTCAGAGGGGCAAAGGAGGGCAACGAGAAGTCGCTCTATACGCCGATTACATACGCGCGCGCTACTCGGTGCGGGCGTTGGTCGACAGATATACGAGGGGGTGGAAAGAAAAGAGGGGGTGGGGGCGAAAAAAAGAAAAAAAGATGTATACATAAACACACACACACATATATATATATATATATGTATAGAGATATATATATATATATAATATATCGAAGAATAGAAGAATAGAAGAAGAAGAGACCGTAGAGGGTGAGATATATTGCGAAATCCACTGCGCTGAAAACGTAGCCGGGACGAGACGTTCGACTGCTTCTGTTGGAAATGGCAACAACTTGTGGTGACACGAGAGACACACACACACGTGCACCGAAAGCCCAACCTCGGACGAACCTCGCGAAGCCTCCGGCTTCTCTCTTCCTCCCGTGTCCGGCTCCCGAAGAAGGTTCGGGCCTTCGGGTGCTGAGAGTGGTGCAGGGCACTGGGGGAACGGCCGTTCCCGACGGGGGACGACGGAGGTGAGGACGGGAGGGAGGATGGGGCTAAACGAGTGACATCGTATATTCACACGTTGATGATGAGGCGGCCGCGCGGGCCCTCCGCGGCTCTTGGTACTCACCTCATGTTGATGAGATACTGCGCCAACGCTACGGCGTCCGGGTTGCCGGTTATGGTGATGGTCCGATCCGTCGCTCCGCCCTCCCTCTCCTCGCAGTTACTGATTCGGATCATGGCGCCGGAGATCTGACGGATCTCGGCGATCTTGGTGCCGCCCTTGCCGATGATGCAACCGATCAGCTCATTTGGCACGGTCATCTCGTGCGTCTGATTGTTCGCCGCCGGTTGCTGCCGGTTCGTGTTGCTCGTGCGGAGCTGGCTGCCCGCCAGCGCTGCCAATGCTGTGAGACGGCCATCGGCAGAAATTGCGCAAATATTAGAAAAGTTACTTCGCTATACGGGCCGTGGGACGCGGCGATGACACGGCGGAATAAGAGCGGAGGAGGCGGACAGAGATCGGTGGATGCAAGAGCGAGCGGACCAAGCGGGTTCTCGGTGTTCCCTCCGGCACGGAAGTCGAAACGATTCCCGCAGGAGCGTCCCCGCGTTAATCGAAGTTAACCGCGGCCTTCAACTGCTGCACTTCGTTTCCCCCTTCGTCCACTTCTGTTTCCGAGAACTTTGGCAAACTTTAACGAACGTTTGCGGCAACTGTCCACGGATAAATTGTAACTTCCCGTTGTAACGTGTATATCGTCGTCGTCGTCGTCGTCGTCGTCGTCGTCGTGTCGGTGTTTCCTGATCAATAAGGTTTGTTCGCGAAGAGTTCGCGGTAAACGTCACGGCGGTTGCGTCGCCGCCTCAGCTCTCAAAAATTCGTCATTTCCGACTTCAAACCCGCGCGTCCCGATACAGCCGCTTCGTACGGTCGCCACCTTCTCACCGTTTCACCTTCTCCGCGAGGACGCCTCGCGGAGGGAAAAGCTGATAACGTGAAAGGGGTAGGAGGAACGCCTCGGCTCGAGGTAACTCGAAAGATACGCGGTTTCGAGAATTTCAAGAATTACTTAGATGCTCGAAGAAACGTCTCTCAGTAGCCGGCTCAATCTCCTCCAGACACATTTATACCTAGGTTCATCGTTCGTAACGAGCTGCAGAAACACCCCAAGAAACTACTCAGTCGGGCCGGCCCGCTGAAAGGGCGCGTGAAGCGCGCTTGGCTGCGGCGGCAACGTAAAAAAAGTTTCAACCGCCTGTGTACCGATCGCGATTTATCGCACATCGCGACGCGCACATCGCAAAGCGAAGAGAACGCGAGCCGACGAGAGAGAGGCGAGGCAACGAGCGCCTCGCCAATCCTTTCCACGTCAGTGACGACGCTTCCTGACGAGACCCCGAGGGCGCAGCATCGACGAGTACACCCGCCCCGGGTGTAACTACGAGTTCGCCGGCCACACTCGCTCGCTTACCTGCTGGATTAAGTCCTCCGGTATTCGCCGGTGTAGCCAGACCTCCAAGGCCCAACGCCGCCAAGCTAGCAAGAGGGTTACTTCCCAGCTTGCCCATCTGCAACAACGACGAAGAGATCCATCGCTCAAAAATGGGGTGCCGCGGGCGACAACGATCGCTCGGGGGGTGGGGGGGGTCGTATGTGCGCTCACAGGGCGGGGGACGTACGGAAGAAGTACGGGGGCCGGGGATAAGGATGAGGGGTTCATATGACGACACCGAAAGGTATGTAATATCTATGTAAAACCCGTCTGCCGCTTCCTCGTGTGCGTCGCGCGCTTCGCTCGCGAACGTCGAGAGCCCTTCTTTTTCTTCTGGCTCAAGGGCGGATTTACCGAGAGAGAGAGAGTGAGAGAGAGAGAGAGAGAGAGAGAGAGAGTGAGAGAGAGAGAGAGAGAGGATCGCTCGAGATCCGGTTCGGTTCTCTACGTCACGAGGAATGAGAAGGAAGTCTCCTCGCGCTCGTGCTCGCGACGAGACTCGTCGACCGCGTGTCGTTTTAATCGCGTCGTAGAGTTCGATCATCATCAGCGTGCGTAAGCTCGAGCGCGAGACTCTCTCAGTGTCGTCGTCATTATCATTATCATTATCGTCATCGTCGTCGTTGTCGTCGTCGTCGTCGTCCTCGTCCCGTGTTACTCGAGCGACCGAGAAACCTAACAAATCGATGGAGTCGACTCCCGACTTCCTGAGACCGGTCCGACGGCTTAGCTAGTTCGCGCGCGCGACGGCCGGCCCGGCTCGAACGTCGCGAGCGAGCCGGCGCGAAAGTTCCGACGCGGCGAGATAGACAAAGTTATAACGGCCGAGGAACGGTGGCAGGCCGGGCGGAGTTATAATGGCTATTTTCGCTCTTCGCGCGCGCGCAACTATGGCAAGGACCCGTTAAATCGCTCGAGTTTACTTCCACTCCTCCCCGCTGGCCCCTTTCGCCTTCGTCGTCTTTTCGCCGATAATAACCGACATGCGCGAGAGCGCGAACACACCGCGTGGCCGTTAATTCGCGGCGTAAGATGGATCGTGGAGCCTCTGGCGAAATGAACGCGCGCGCGCAGCTGGCTGAATCGCGGGAGAGGGTAATGGAGAAGTTTCCGCCGCCAATTAATATCCAAGAAGGTAATTATTAAGCTGCAGCTCTTCGCGTGTAAGAAATTCCGTTCTCGTTTCGCCGTTTGGCGCGCGGGTATACACCGAGAAGAGAGAGAGAGAGAGAGAGAGAGAAAACAAAGAGTGGATGAAAAAGTCGCGGCATTGCCGAAACTGTGTTCTCAGAGAATTTCCCGAAGGGTCTCCTCCTTCCTTCGCGGCTTTGACGACGCGCGGTCGCGCGAAAGATGATTCTTCGTTTTACTCTCGAGAGCGATGCCCGTTAACTTCGTTATCTATTACGACGTTAGAAACGACGAAGCTCCTCTCCCCCTCCCCCCGGCGAAATGCTTCCTCATCGAACAGTTAATTGAGCATCACCCTTTGCGTGCGATCCCGACTCGACGCGCGACGGCGATTAAACAAGAAGCAAAACGAAATAGAACATTTTCGACCGAGTCCTCGCCGAGGATACACACGCTGCCATCCCACGGGCGTTGCTTGTGTCCATCTCGCATTTTTACCGCACGATACGATTACCGAGAGACGGAAAAATTGTTTCGACGCTGCAGCACGCGCGCGTGCGGCCAACGGCTATTTCAAGAATTTTATTTTAACTTTATTCGGAGTCTTCTCCTCTCCCCTCCTCCCTCCCTCCCTCCCTCCGTCTCTCTCGCGCTGTCGCATGATTTCGCAAGAATGTGGCTCACCTGGGAAATTCTCGAGGTTCCCGACGTCACGACATATTTAGCCGAATCGAACAGCGCGCGATCGCCTCCGACAGGAAAGTTCGTACGGGTCGACAGAGGAAGAATTTCACGTCACACCGAGCGCTTATCGCGGCGACATGAGAATACGCGTTTAACGACGTTAAATTGAACCGATAAGCGGGGTGGCACGCGTATCGCTTCGAGGAAAGAAAAAAAAAGTTTCCTTCTGACGAGGTTAGAAGCACGAAACGGCACGCGACGCGAAATAACCGAGAAGGAACGCGGACTTGTACGCCGCGTTACTTCGAAAATCGTGGCAGAAATTACTTTGAGACAGCTCGATGAGAGGAAAAGGGCCGGGACACGGAAGTTACAGAAAAAGAGAAAGAAGACGAACGAAGCGGCGAGAGAAGGGCGCGCGCGTATATTCTTTGCACCCTCGTTGCGGCACCGCTCGACCGCGTGAAATGATCGCGATAATTCATCCCGCTCCTGCTCGCTTAAATGTTAAACGCAACAAGTATTTCCGCGACGTTCACGTCTGCTTTATTCCGGCAGGAGAATGAAAAGGGGGAAATTCGCAAGTTTTATGCGAACGTGATCTTTCGATCTTGTGGAGAATTGCACCTTAAGAAAAGGTGCCCGCGATAATTTATCCAATTAATAAAATATAACTAACAGAAAAAAACATCTATAGAATGTGATCACTGTTGTAATGAAAAAAAAAAAAAAAAAGACATCGAGCTGAACAATCGAGTGTCTTGAATCCATCGATCATAGCTCGTTTCAATTTTCCTCGCGTTAATCATGTTCCAACACACACACACACACACACACACACGCACACACACGAATACTGAGATAAATCGAGCGTCTCTGGCAATTAAAAAAAAAAAAAAACGAAAAAAAATACAAAAAGAAAAACTGCGCCTCTGCTAATTACTAAAATGTTAACATTCTATCTTAACTCTCGAAAGGGACGAGATGAGAGATAGATAGAAGGGAGAGGATATGGATGTACCGTGTCCTATTCTGCACGAAGGATAATACTGTGTTCATTCCCTATTTAACGTAATCATCTAAACTAACGCGTGTGCAAAATTTCTAACGTACAGCGTCGTGTTGCATCGTACGAGAGACACGTTTTGAACACGATGTGGACTAACCGATCTGATTCCACCATTTTCGTAATCTCGCAATTTCAAAGTATAACGTCGACGACAGTCTAAACGAATTCCGATATAAATTAAAAATTTCTACTAAAATATTCTGTGCGATATGTAAATTTTATATAGTATAAAATTTGATATACGCAGCTTGATACGTACTCTTTACACAATGATCTGTAATGATCTCTAAAATTCGACACGTCTCTTGGCAATTGCATCAGCACTGCGTCAAAATCGTTACACTTTCATGATGCGTCTAGAACGTGGAAACCTCTTACGTATACATTGGTAATGAGTCGGAAACATGATTATGTCGCCCGTTTAATTATTCGATCGTCGGTCGAATAATCGGCGAGATGGGGGGGACCGCAGAGTCGTTTGAAATTCGCGAATACTCGCTATAGGTGAAGCACCGACATCGATTTGGACGGCTCGCTATCGCGCGAACGTGCGAACGCCTCTCTTTCTCGTATGTAAGACGGTAGTCTATAAAATGTGCTCAAGTGGAAACGTGATGTACAGGGCAGCCCACCCTTACGCGAACTCGTCGCTGACTCTTAGCTAAAAGAGTGCCGGAAGCCATGCTGTTCTAAACAGGATGCCAAGGGGGACAATGGGCAACTCAGGATTAAGAGGAAGAAACGAACAAAACGTAGCGCGACAGTTTGACAAGAGCGATGTCAAATATGTGATGTACGTGTGCGTGCGTGCGTGTGCGTGTGTGTGTGTGTGTGTGTGTGTATGCGCACGCGTGTATGTGCCTGTAAAAGGATCTTATCTCTTTTTGCTTCTCGCAAGGTTTAAGTCAAGCACAAGCTCGCAGATGCGCGGATAGACTGATAGGTAATTGATCTTCCGAATAAATAGATTCTCATTGCGCAAAATCTCTTTTTGCTCAATTCTTTTTCCCTTGTGCGATTACGAGAGAACGATATTTAGTGTTTTCGTATTTTAGACGCTTTAGACGACATTGAATATCGTAAGCAAATTTCAGAGTGAAAAACTCCTCGGCGACGAAGTTGAAGTCTGGAAACACGATCGATAATATAATATAATCATCGGTTTTAGAGTTAATTAAAAAGGCGAAACTTGTGCTTAACGTGGCTGGGCGAGAAATAAAATATTCGGGAGAACTGCAGGATGAACGTTAACTTTAGCCGGAACCACGTTCATTTTTTTTTCCCCAGCGGAGTGCTCTTTCTCTCAAAGGGATGAGCTCGCTTGCGATCGTAATTATGGAGAGGAAAAGGAGGTCAGTTTTAAAGGAGAGAGAGAGAGAGAGAGAGAGAGAGAGAGAGAGAAGGAAACGATCTTTTCCGCGTGAGAGACTGCGTGTGTACATGTACGTGTCTGTAGGAGAAATAGAAGTGGAAACGAAAACACAAAATCGTAGACGAAGTGTACGAGGCCGTGTAAGAAAGCGAAATAGTAACAGAGTTGTAGTATATAGTGGTGGTTGTGTAGTAGTGTTAGTATAGTAATAATAGTAGTAGTAATCGTGTGTGTCGTAAGCCGTAAGAAAATTCGTCAAGCAGACTGAGGAACTGAGAAAGAAGTATCAAAGACGGGAGATATATCGTGAGAGTAGATATAAAGCGCAAGTAGTAATAATTATACCTATGTAAATCTACCTCTTTTCTCGTGCCACGCATGCATCGTCTTCGTTCGTTGTAATTCCGTCGCAGTGAGAATTATTATTGTTATTATTCTAATGATCACTAGCCATCGTTTCTGTCTCGATTCACCCACCCTTTCAGCCATGTCTCTCGAAGCCGACGGACAACGAGGAAGATCGACGAGCAGAAACCAAACAAGAAGCGAAAAGAAAAATGAGGAAAAAGAAGAACCGGTCAAATCGCGAGATACGTCCGGAGCTGATTAGGATATGCTGCGTTATCTTTTCTTGATGATTTTTTTTTGTCTCTTATCGCGCGTCGTTTCCCGGCATAACAGCAAATCGGACTTGAGGAAGTCGGGCTCCGTGTCGGTCGTCGGTCGTTGAAAAGCGCACAGAAAGAGAAGATAGGACAGAAGGTTGAGACACGACGACACGCCATCCTGATAACGCCGTGCGAAAACATTTGTGCGATCGGCCCTTCGGCAAAGCTTCTTCGACGAGTGGCAGATCCGACACGGATTCGAGGGGGGTAAAATTTCGAGAACGACGGTATGTACTTTGAATAATACGAGCAGCGCAGTAGCGAAGATAAAACCAAAATTACTTGAAAATCTATCTCTTCACCTTGACGTATATATTTAATTTCAGCGATCAAACAGAACGACCGGTCTTATTCGAAATGCAAGAAACGCGAGAGCGAAAAACGTCAGCGAGAAAGAAAACGTCGGTACAATTTTCCAGCCGGCCGGTCCGGTTTGCGAAGATACCGATAAACTCGACTTTGCCGAATAAACGCGATATGTACGTGCGATAAGTGAAAAAAAAAAAAAAGAAAAAAAAAGGCACTGAAAAGAATAACAGCGCGATTAAGAGAACCACGCTGTGTAACGCGTCCGTCGAGAAGCGAGTAATACGCTTCGAAATTTTCCGACGCGTCTCTCTCTACTCGTCGATCGCGCGGTGAGCAATTATCAGGCTGGCGTTTCATGGCATCTGCCGATCGGTCGGCCGGACGAGTGGATTATCAGAGCACCACCACCATGGCAAACTCGGCATCATAGTGCTCGGCTATTCGCTGCTATCGACTCGGCCTCCTGCTTGATCGGAAGCCATTTGTCGAGGAGACTCGTGGTGGTAATGACATCTTTTGGGACGTTTTAAGCGAACCTCTCTCTCTCTTTCATTCTCCCTTTCGCTCACTCTCTTTCACTCTTTCTTTCTCTTCCTCTCTCAGACCGGATCCAACGACAAGCCGTAACGAATCACTGCGTGATTCGTGAGCAAGCGTTCATGCTAAAGCAAGCTCTCGATCATTCGTTCGCCGCGAAACTGCCAGCAAACTCGCATTTCGCTGCGAAGTTCCTTCGCGGGAGCGACTCGAGAGAATCTCGTCGCTCCCGGACGATGATCGTGTCGCGAAATCGCGTGGAACGAACACGCGGTTCGTTCCATGCTCCGTCACATGCAGGGTCGGTCCGCGTCAAATTCAAGTCACGCAGACCGTCCGACTCTGATACGACGCGTATCCTGAATCTTCCTCGCACGAAGAGGATACATGCGAACAATGACATACGTGGAGAAAGTAGGTTGCGCGTAAGAGTCAGACGGCTAATTGGATCGCTCGATACGATCATCATCGGCGGAACGATGTATGAACGCAGCGCGGCTGAATGCGCGACGCGAGGCTCCCCCCGTCTACCAAGCTGCGAATATTTTATTCGAAATTTGGAATGGAGTTTGCTTCGTCAACGATAAAACAAGAATGCGGCCGAATCAACTCGACATCGAAATATAACGAGGAGAAAAAAAGAAAACACGAAAAACGGAGGGAAATGAAAAAGTAAAAGTAATAAATTTCTCAAATTGACGAGTCGCGATAAATAAAGCCAGAATTTCGTCGGCAATAAAAACTCGACTCCTCTCCGTTGTATGTAAATTGTAGTTATCGCTTTTTTTTCCCGTTATTAAATCAGAGACGCGTAGAATCGGGCGAGATGAAATCAGTCATTTTACAATCCGAGAGCCGTTCTCTTCTGCGTGCGACAAGTTGAACGACAAGTGAATGTATTCGAGAGCATCAATCGCAAAGACGACGCCAACTCCTTCCGAATGCTCTCTCCCTCAGTTTCTCTTTCTCTCTTTCTTCTATTATTCCGCAACTATTCCGCAACGTGATATCGGAGCTCGATTTCGCATGTCGCGCAATCACGCTAATTTTACGTGGCATGCATTAACCAATCCCTCTACGCACTGTGAAAGACAGCAAGCAATTCTTGAGGTGATCAACCCACTACCAACCGCAAGCATACAGGGAGGAAAGACACACGTGTACACACAGGCTCAGGTCGAGAACTCGTTAGAAGCATCGGTGAAACGTTTAGAATGTAGAAAGAGAGAGAAAGAAAGAAAGAAATTGAGAGAGAGAGAGAGAGAGAGAGAGAGAGAGAGAGAGAGAGAGAGAGAGAGAGAGAGAGAGAGAGAGAGAGAGAGAGAGAGAGAGAGAGAGAGAGAGACAGACAGACACAGGAGGAAGGTCCAGAGAGAAAAGCGTGCACGAACGACACGTGCGGATCACATGAAAAGCGAGAAGCTCGCGGACCTCGCGTGACTTCGCCGTTATCGCGGCAGACCGCGAGCGAAGAAGAAAAGAAAACCGCTGATCACCGCGCGCGATTATTAAAATGCGAAAGTATCTCCCGTCGAATGAAAAAAAAAAAGAAAAAAAAAAGGAGACCGCCGATACCTTCACGCTTCCCGTCCGAGAGAGCGAGAGACTCTCTCCTTCGTGAGAATCTTCGATGAAAAACCTCCCCGTCGGCACGACATCGCTCGCTATTAAGCTCAATCACCGGCGAGCCTCGTCGCCATTTCGCGACATACACTTTTCGCGGTGTAATCGAAACTCCGAAAATCCCAAGTCGAAGTCGAGTCGAAGTCACGCGATCGGGAGACGTCCGAGGGTGAGACGCACGCTCGAGAAGCTGCTCGTTCGATGATGAATCGGTGGTCCTCCCGTCGGAGAACTCGCGGCCGCGAAACAATCTTGCTGCCGAACGAGAAGTTCGCGAGCGTGCGCGAGAGGGGATATCGAGCAAAAAGCCAGGGTGTTTTAATGCACGTATGCGGGGAATGGGACGGAGGATTGTGCAAGAGAGTCTCGTGAAGAAGGGGGACCAGGTGGCCTATAGACAACAGTAGGACATTTACCGATACCGATAAACATATCGCGGACTTGCACGGCAGCGCTGGAAATTGGAACGACCTCGAGAATCTCCGGAGATCGAAAGCGGAAAATTCTTTGCCGTTCTCTCGCTGCTATCGCCGTTAAATATATATATCCGTGGCTCGCCGTGTTTCCGTCGATCTCTCCTCTTTCTCTCCCGCGGACTTTTCACTTTGCGAGAGGCAAACTACCGCCGTTACCTACGTCACTCGGTTTCTTCTTCCCGGCCTCGAGAATCGGCTCAACTAGAAGCGGTAATGCAGAAAGGAATAAAGCCGCCCCTCTTCCCCTCGCCGGGGCGCCGACGAATTAAATTAACATCGGCGAACCGCGAACAAGCGCGCGCGATCGAATAAAACACAGCCGCGTTAATTCGCCAACTTTTCGCTACTACTATCCTCCTCCCGCCCCCCCCCCTCTTACCGGCGCCTTCAACGTAAACCGCTGTTTAGCCAGCGCTGCAGCGAACGGGCAACTACAAACACGCGCCGGGCCCCATTTCGTTAATCTATAAAACTTTCCACCCCCAAGGCCGCAACCTAACCGCGAAGTAATCCAGGGTAACTACTATTACGGCAGAGCACCGTAAACTGGAGCTGCTCCGCCGCGAGTCCTCTTCCTCGCGGCGGCTGTGGCGGCACGTAGGAACGCGATAAAGGTAAATTATCGAGAAGCTGAGCGCTGCGCGGGACTCGACACGCAACAATAACGAGCGTCTTATTCGGACATGTTCCCCGTTAAACAACCGATAATCACGACCCAATAAATCTCACCCTTTCCTGCCGAGCGCGTGGATCGTTATGTCTCACCGCGAACCGGCCGACTTCACTCGCCAATCGTTCCAATCTCGAGCCGTGGTTGCCGTAGTCGCCAGGGCGAAATTTTGCCGAATACACCGAGGATCATGTACAACGAGGAGACACCGAGAGAATAAGAATGGTGGAGGGTGATTATCGATCTTCGGACAGGTGAAACGGAAATTCATCGTATGTATATGTTTGTTATCGGGTAGAGGTGAGTAAGTGGTAGCCAGGGGTGGTCACAAGATGGTGGTGATGGTAGTAGTGGTGAGATGACGGTGATGGTAGTGATAGTGGTGGTGGTGGTGGTGGTGGTGACGGTGGTGGTGGTGGTGGTGGTGGTGGTGGTGGTGGTGGTGGTGACAATGGTGGTCGTTGTGGTGGTGATATGGTCGAGAGAGAGAAAAGGTACGGGAGAGGGCGGATCACGAAAAACAAAAGACTTACGGCGTCTGCCACGAGGTGTGCGGGCGGGAGGGCTGCCTGCAAGTGTCCACTCTTCAGCAGGGGGTCGGCGAGGCCTGCCACGCTGGCGTGTAAGGGGTTCGGGTGGAGAGGATGATGTGGGGTCGTAAGGTGGGCCGTGGATAGGAGCGGGTGCCCGTGAGAAGCGGCGAAGGCCGAGGACGAGGGGTGGGCCGCGAAGGGCGAGGTCGTCAAAGTTTGGGTGTTCAGCGAGGGCGGGGTGGGCCCGGCAGCGGGCGCGGGTAATGGTAATACTGTACTTACGTCCGAGTGGGCGGGCACCGCGTAATTACCCTGGATGGTGTAGGCTTGCCCACCAGCCAGGATCACTGGCCCACCGACTTGGGGTTTGGGGCGATAAGGGATCGTGGCACCTTTGGGAGGGGACTGAAACAGAAAGAAACACACGCACGAGTGCGAATACACCGATCGAGGCCACTGCAGAGAGGAGTTTTGTGCGGCGACATCATCATGGCCTTGTCACCATGAGACACCATTGTGACCTTGTCGTCCTATTAAAGTCCTGGCCGAACTGACCCGAACGTGGAAGAACGTATCGCCTCGCGTTTTCCTTTTTTCCCTTTTGTCTTGCAACAATAAGGAACGTACAGAGGTATATGCTCTGTTTTACTTGGTCTGGAAGTTGGTTTGACTTCCAGGTAGATAACGAGGAGTCGGTGCCGCGTGACTGTAATTGTAGTTAATATCGATTCATTTTGGACTTTAATAGGTCGACCTGGTTCGTCATAGTTTGTCGATAGTGTATCGATATTCTCGCGCGTCCTCGCATACTTAACATTTTACTGGTTCCCCTGGAGGCAGATTAGCTAACTGCGCGAAGCAGGTCGGCCAGATACGAGAGAATGGCGACGAAGTTTGACGCGAGGCAAACACTCGCCGCGCGTTCGGGCCGTTATTATCATATATATTGCGAACATCACGTAAGACCGGAAATTGTTCAGATGCGCGCCCGCGCGTTCGCCTGGACCGTCGTTCTTCCGAGACCGGGACTGAATCGATTGACGGCGCGGTAAGTATCGCATTTAAATTTTAACAGTCCGGGCGCACGCGGCAATTATTCATCGGCGAATATCGATATCCACGCGAGCAGTTCCAGCGATTATCTTTAATCGAATTCAACGACATGCTCATTTGTTACGGTCACAGAATGGTGGTGGAGTGCAAACTCACTTCTAGATTCCGAGAAGAATCATGAACAACGCTCTTCGTTCCGAAGAGTTCGATGTACATACGTACGAACCATGACGAGACCAAGGTATATGCGTGTATGCGTGTATGCGCGCGCGCGCGCGCGTGTGTGTGACACCGCACTGGTGACAAAGTTTCTCGAAGCCATCAGCATACGTACCTCTAGCATAACGCAGCAGATATGATATATGCACTGCGTGATCGCCTCGCTGGTACCGGATATGGTTACCGCACGTTCCGTAGAATTGGGCAACATCTCGGACGCAACCTGGATGGAGGCGCCGGTGACCTCGCGGATCTCCTTGATCTTGGAGCCGCCCTTGCCGATGAGGGAGCCGCACTGCGAGGCCGGCACGATCAGTCTGAGCGTGATGGGCGGTCTCGAAACGCCGCCGCCGCCACCAGCACCGCCGCCCTGAATGTCGTGGAACTGGGAGCACCATTCCTCGAATTTCTTGCATATCAGCGTGAATGCCTTGAAGATCGAGTTGGTCGGTCCGGTGACAGTCACTATCCGCTCCGGGCAGGAACCGTCGGAGATATTGATCTTCGCGCCAGACTGTGGACGAAGAAATATTACCGATCGCGGGATTCTCAAATATGCAGGTGTGTGTGTGTGTGTGTGTGTGTGTGTGTGTGTGAGCGACAAACTATTTTCAGCCGCGCGAACATGCGACGATTGATGCCCGCGATTTTGAGGGATTCCGCCGAGCCGATAAATGTCGCTCCAGCGTTAATTTTTGGCGCGTTAATTTTTTTTTATTTCACGATAAGAGATTACAGAGAGTAACGCGTGACACGTTCCTCGGCGACGTCGCGCGAGCAATTTGAGCGGATGATTAAGGTGGAGACAAAATGCGTGTTAACGTATCTCCGCGTGTCTCCGATAGCAGCTGAGAGAAACCGAAGCGACCGCCGCGCGGCCGCGAGACTGTAATAATAATTTACGTATTTTCGTGCGGAGTATCCGAGCTCCGATACGTGAAATAACATGCGATGACGCGTGTGACTCTTGTTTGTCCTCTCTTAATATTGCATTGTCGAGACACAGCGAGTCATCTGTCATGCAACAAAGACGTGATTGACACTCACCTCTTCGCGGAACCTCTTGACAATCTCTCCCTTTTTCCCGATAATGCTACCGACTTCCTGCAACGAGAAAAAAAAATATCCCATTAGTTGGAGTATCGTGTACGAAAGCATCGTGATGTGATGGATCCTCTCGTGGATTCCATTACGGATAGATACTAAATGCGCTTCGTTACTATGGAAAAGTTCAACGATCGTTCACGGAGATATGGTACGGCTCGGCTGCGGAGACGAGAGATAGAAACTCGACGCCAGTTATCGCGCAATGAAAGGTATAATTGGTAAATATAATTACGCCGACTGCGTCGAACGACTCGCTCCGAATTCCGCGCCGTAGTCGCCGCCAACGTTTTCTTCATCGTTACGATACACGAGCCGAGAGAGGTATCGGGCCGCTAAGCGCGTTAAATACGTGTCGCCGGCCCACGGGATAAATGTCCACGTACAAGGGAAGCGCGGTCGTAAGACGCTCGTGCGAGACGAACGTCGCGTCGCGGCGCGGCGCGGAATTGGCGCGAGAGTGCCTATAATTAGCGTCGGGATGCACAAGTAGCCAATGTCCAGCCAGACACACTGCGCGCTACCCGCCGACGTCGCCCGCCCTGACACTGTCTGACCTCAAGATAATGTCACTGTTAGAGTCTTCTGGGCGAGCAGGTATGCGTCTCACCGCCGCTCCCTCTAAACTTAGACTCTAAACGACGTTCCCCGGATGAAATGCCAACGTCCCTCGGACGCGAGTCGACGCGACAGTTTCGCCGTCTGCTTCTTTCCCTCTCTGCTCGCAAGGATCAAAGCGTGGCGAGCCACCGCCGACAGCACAATTTCAAATCCCAAAATCGAATTTTTTCGTAGAGTTCGATAAAATTACGGAATACAAACGTTCCGATACCAATTATTCACAAACGTTCCATATTACCGACGAGATGATTTCTTTTTATTTCACGTTCCTCCGCCCACGATGCGGCGGTTTCCGATGGCCACTGATGAATGGGTCATTGCGAAAGTCGCGGATTAATCGACGTCTGCAACGAGTTTAGGCATGCGACCTGCGATTCAGCGTCGCAGCAAACGGCACGCGAGAGGACCTCCGCGTGTCCAGCGGAGGGGAGTGGTCGTGCTTTGCGTTGCGTTACGTTCGAGCACGAAATTGCGAGCTAACCGGCGAAACATTCCCGTAGAGACGACGACGTCTCTAAGAGAGCGCGCGCTGACCCTAATTATGTTTACACGCTTGCATGGGACTGCCGTCTCTCGCGAGCGGCGCGCAAAAGTAAATCAGCGACGACGTCGCGCCGACGGCGGCGGTCGTGAATTCCTGTTGACCGTGCACGAGGTAGCGCGACTGGACAAGCGTCATCGTCGACGAATTAGCCCGCACCGAGGCAAATATAGCTGGAACAAGAAGACAGCGAGACGACGAGGGAAGAAGAGGAGAAGGTGGAGGGAAAGGAGGGTCCGCTAGCTGGCTTTGCCAGACACGACGAGGGGTCACCGACGATCGCGAGAAATTCGCGAGATTGCGTATCCTTGGAAATCGCGAGCCGCGTTATCGGCCCCCGACTGGACACCCTAGCTAGCTTCTCTCTTTCTCTCCCTAGCCGCTACTCCATTCTTCCACCCGCAAATGACGGCGCATCCCCATCTGCACGGCTCGAGAGAGGCGACGTATAGCTAACACACAGCACCGTCGGTCAATAGTTTCGAGAGTGCAACCTACTTTTATGAAATGGGATTAAAAGTTTTCCGATACCGTCCCACTTACGTCGTCCTGTAAATATACGCCGCCGTTGTCATGCCGCGGGACGTCGCGAAATTGCAGGGAATGAGTGACGGCCTCTCCCTCTCTCCCTTCCTCTCCCCCCCCCTCTCTCTCTCTCTATCGACGAGCGAAATATTCTCCCCAAAAAGAAGCCGTGTGTTCGCGTCCAAGCGCGTCTCGAGCGCTCATTACGATTCTGTCTCACGGTATCGACGCGGAACACACAAAGTGCAAAATGCAACAAATGGCGTGGGTGGCGAAATAAGTGGACAAAAAATTTATAAAAGTTATTAACAAGAATGCGATTATAAAAGGTGGCAAACGAGGTCCTCGGAGACCGAGCTTCGAGCAGACGAAAGCCAAATTGTATTTATTTTGCGTGTCGGACGGATTCGCCTGTCGTTTACAAACGAGGCGTCCCGCGAGGGGGATTAAGAAAGTCCTGTGTGGAGGGACAACTCGCACTCGGTTAAACACACACGGAGGACGCGGTGTGCAAAAATGCAGGACACCAGCGGCGAAAATTGCCGCGCTCGTCTCGCGTGGTTCCTGCGATCGCGTGTCGGGGACCAGGGATGATTCCCGAAAGTTCGCGAGTACCAGCGGTCGGTTGGTTGGCCGATGGCCCTGGCGGCGATCCAACCCTCCTCGCTGGAGGGTCCAGGGATTCGCCGGAAAGCCGGCTCGCGGAAGACGATACACCGACATCGAGAAAACGCGAGGAGACACACCGAGCGAAGGAAAGCCCTTCCCCCTTTCCTTCGCGCGTTCTTCCTCTTTTTCCTCGTCTCCTAATAATTACTAATTGCCGTCCCCTCGGCTAAACATCACTGGCGTGCAAGCGACGGAGGAGGAGGGGAGGGTGAGCAGAAGGAAGGAGCTGAAAAGGAGGCTGATCACCACGTAGCCGAGACGGAAAGAAAATATTGGGATAACACACAGCTACGAGTCCGCGGGCTGATAGATAAGCTGAAGCTTGGAGCTCGGCCAAATATTTACGTCGTATCCCGGTGTATCGTGACAGATCGGAGACGCGGCCGTGACATTGTTCGACGAAACAACGGCGGAAACGATCCCCCCGCGTAATAGCGAAGACCGATAGGAATTGGAGTGCCAATATTCCCCCGACGACGACGGCCCTTCGCTGTCGCTCGTCGAGAGAGCGTAAAACTCCAGGTAGGACGGCAACTTTCGAACTTTTGCAAACATGGAAACGACGCGCGATATGTAAAGATTAATTAGCCGTTAATTAGCCGCCACGCCAACGCAGCAAAAAGATAAGCGACCGTAAACGAACGCAACGAACGTAAACTAATAATAAACATCATTATATCACGCTCGCCGAATTTCGACCGGACGCAACGTCGAGGACAACGTCGATGATGATAGAAATCGGCGACTATATATTTTTCCCTTTTTCCTTCTTTCCCAAAGGTGTTAATTTACGAGTTCATTTACGAGCGACGGTTTACGATCGACCTCGTCTCGCCCGTCCACCGTCCACAATCGGTAGGATAATGGAATCGCGATAATTCTCGATGCAGCAGTCGATTGGCTTCTGGCCCTGGCCAGAGTCCAGTCCGTCCCCCGGGGAGAGGGGGGGAGGGGACCACGGTGCGTACTCTTCCCGAGGAGACATAATGTCCGTTGGCCGGCCAAAAATGCGGCCAGACGTATTTATTTCGCGAGGAAGAAGGAGAGGAGAGGAGAGGCCGCTCGCGCGCCCGACTATCCGTTTACTCGTGCTTGCAAGGCTTCCAAAGCGGAGTTTTGCAATACACGCACTCCGCGGCGGCAATAGCAAGCCGGATAAAGAAGCGCAAAATTAATAAACGTCGGTGAGGGGGGCGGTGCGTCGGCCACGTCCGAATAACAACGTAAACGCAGCAAGCCGATAAGATCGGTGTGTGGTGCATGACGATAGCTTTTCCATCAGGAAGAGCTAATGCACGCACTGATAAGATTTTTCGGCAACATGGGACGAGACGACGTTACATGGAAAAGGGAGGAAGTCTCGAATGATTCATCGGAGAACAATCTGGAAACATTTCAGAAAGATGACTATTAAACTGGGAACTCGAACTATGCGGCGCGACGAAATAAGATAAGAAGCACACTTGTACGAATTACCGCAGAACTGAACTCGTGAATATTCAGGAAAAGGATAAGGACGTTTCGTTAAAGTAAGCGGCGGAGTTAACTCTGCCAAGAGGAAATCGCGGTCGCGGTTGCAGCCGCCTTCCTTCTCGATTCAGTTTTTGTTTACCACCTCGCGGCGCGAGTGCACGCGTAATTAGTCAGGTCCGTGTTTGTTTTCGCAATCGATCCTCGAGCGAGGTCATTTTCACCCTGGCGCAGCAACAAGCGGAATACGTCGGAAAAAGACCAAACGAGAGCAGTTGTGATCGAAAATGGGAGAAAAGAGGGGAGGATTACACACCGTGACGACGCCGGCGTGTCATCGTCAGGACGAAAAAACGCCGCTATAATGAGATTTGTCGCGGGAATATTTCCTCGGTGCCGACGCCGGAGGTCCGTTTAGGGACACACCGGGAGAATCAGATCCGACTGAGGGTTGGCGGAGCGTTGAGAAACCCTCCAAAAGAGAGAGAGAGAGAGAGAGAGAGAGAGAGAGAGAGAGAGGCAGAGAGGAAAGCACATCGATGGAGTAAAGAGAGTCGAACTTCGAACGAGTAGGGCTTCAAGCGGCCGAGTATCATTCAAATATGCAGGAATATGCAGTAATTTCTATGCCGCACTTTAGCACGAACTCGTGCGTGCGTGTGTGTGTGTGTGTGTGAATATGAGCGTAAATGTGTGTGCAAAGATAGGTTTGCAGGTTGCTCCCTTACTTCTTCCGCTTCCTGATCTGGAGGTTTCTTCCGCGAGCAATCCAATTTGCCTGGTTTCGTAGCTCGCGTGAATTTTCCGACTTGGGCTCAAGTTGCGCCACGTTGTATCCAGTCGAGAAGCGTGCGATGAGTCACACCACGGAGTGCATTTCTACTAATGGCTGTATCTAACATACTTTACGATAAGCCGCGTATATGTGTGTGTGTGTGTGTGTGTGTGTGTACACATCGGTCGAAACGATCAAGAAATAGCATTCAACAAATAGTTCCGACAAACTCCTTCGAGTTCGAGTCTGTAATGCCCGAGCGGATAGCTGAAGCGTATCGCCCTTGTGCAAATACGCATATTGAAGATTGAGATTAGGTAGACCGAGAGGAAAATGTTCGGTAGACTTTTAGTATCTAACACCGATATTTGAAGAAACGATTCTACCGTCGTTCAGGGAGCAGTCTATTTTTATAATTTGACATCAAGTACTACACACATCACCGTTTTTACCGCCACCTAATCGCGTATCTTTTATTTATCGGGCGGTCCTACGGATTCAGATGGAGTGTGCGATCGACCGAGTAAAATAAAATTAGCCACGGGCCGTTAAAAAGACTCCTGAAATTTGGCATCTGCATCTCGCACTGATACCCAAGAAGGCAGCGAAATCGGGAAACTTGGCAGGAGCGCGAACGCTCGCGAGAAAAGATCCGCGCATCGACCGGGGGACATCGGCGTCTAGCTGGTAGGATTAATTACCAAGACGGCAGACATTAATTACGCGCGCTACGGCGAGCGATATTGCACCTCGCGCGCGATAATTAATTACGAACAGAGACGACGGTAGGTGACGTGTTCCCAGGAACGACCGCGGTAGGTCGACTCGCGAGCGCCGAGCGAGTCGGGCTAAATAAACTTTGACACTTGTTCCGCCGAAGACTATTCTGCGGAGATATGTTCTTCTTTCTGTTGCCCTCTTCTGCCTTTCCCTCTGAAAATATACCCGTCTCGCGCGGTAATTTCACGCGGTTGACGCAACACGCGCGTCGAATCGCTCGGCGACGACGACGGCGCCGGCTCGAGAGGGAACACGAGAGTGACAGTTTCGAAAGAGAGAGAGAGATACGCGTGTCTCGTAATCTTGCCATGTCCTGTAAGCGCGAGTTTATCATCTTTTTTCTCTTTTCCAAAAGATAAGATAAACGCGGCGACCCACTCGGATCTCGAGTTTTCGGGCTCGACGAGTCGCTTAACCAGTGAAAACGGATTTTCATCGATCGCCGAGGACGAGTCCTCGGGCTGAAGTAACCGCATCACGCCGGTTTTTCCCTTCTCGCAGGCACAAAACTAACGAAGAAGAAGGGGCAGACGTTAACATGCAAAGCAGAGAGCCAGCCAGCAGTCGGAGGTTACAGCGCGAATCGACAATCGCTTTTGCCGATAACCACGAGAGAGCGTTTCGCCTGTCATCGCGGAATTAAAACGCTCGTGGTAATCGCGCGCAGCGGCCCTTTAATCCAGTCCGACTTGCCGACAGTTTTATCTCTCCTCTTCATCTCCAATCTGAATTCCAACGAGGCTTCCTTTGGCTCCGGATCCACAAGGATATTCTTATGGAAAATCGGAAGACGCGAGATAACCGGGAATGGATGTATCTTGCAATACGATCCGAAAGTTGCACGAAGACACCGGTATCGAGACGCCGACGATCGCACCATCGTCCTCCACACCAAGTATCCGATACTCGCCAACTATTTGCGACGGAATTCACACGTGCAATTTCCTTCGTCTCGGCGAAGATCGCTCGAATTCATCGGCTGAAAAATATGTCACACCGTCGGCGATTCTCGGCGCGCGGCACGAGAGGCCGGAGTCATTATCTTGCAAATCGATACAAATTCACCATTTAACAACGAACGTTGAAACGCGAAACAGCGACGAATCGTGGGAAAAAAAAAAAAAAAAAAAAAGAAAAAAACAGCTCTTCGTTGAATCTAGAACGCGGGCGAAAAAAATCGTTGGTTATTTCATCGAATCCCGATAAAGCAAAAAAGGAAAACAGGGAGAGAAATTTTCCATTCTCGCGAATGCGCAAAAATTGACGCGAAGATCGCGCGAAGAGTAGCAATTTGGCATTTTTGGCGACGCGTCAGAAACACTCGGCAGACGTTACCCGACGTAACCCGAAAAGCACGCTCGAAGACGCTTCCGATGTTTTTGCGTGCAGGAGCGACGTTTCAATACGCGTTCAGCGAAATAGAACGTGCAACGTGCGAGTCACAATGACGAATGACTTCGCGTCGCCTTGATAGTGACATTATCGCAGGCGACACGGTTACTTGATCCTTAAACGCGCGTCTCGTCGCAGGTGATGCTTATTGCTGCAATAATAACGTTAACGAAGCTCGTTAATGACACCGCGACGCTCAATCTCACCGCTCTCTCGCGTGCGCGTCCCCGTTTTCTCCTCTCTTTTCTATTTCTTTCCTCGTACCGAATTCAGGCTTGCATCGTCGAATGACGCCAATAATTCGGAGCGTCTGCTCGCGCATATCTTCGAACGAAGGAAGACTCGTCGAAAATTTCTCGATTTTCCAACCGTGAGCCTCTTTAAAACGTTACACACACACACACACACACACACACACACGCGCGCAACAGAGAAGCATTTTTATCAGGCAATTGCAAATGCCTTTCTGTATCGCACGAGTTTCCTAATGCTTCCCAGTCGTACAATCGCGTCAAGTACGGAGATCAAAGTTTCAAGCGTCAGACTTGAAAAAATATAGCGAGAGGACAGGGAGAATTTCCCACGGCTGCCTCGAATGGCTCCCGAAATACAGACAAAGGGCAAATCTCCCTCGACATTTTCGACGAAAATTGCCCGAAACCTCAAAGTTTCCTCCGCGAATCCCCCGCGATCTTTCCAACAAAGGAAAGAATCCCCTGTCAAGAAGTCGCGGCTCTCCGCGATCTTTTTCGGCTCGATACTGGCAGGCACTTCGCGACGCAAATTCTAATTCTAATACTCCTAGCCGCTCTAATTCCCCGCGCACTTACGGACACGAGAGAGTCTCGGCATTGTACGGCGAGAGCCCGGTTCGATCATTGTGACAGAATAGGAGCCGTGTTACGTGCCAGAACGGCGCGGCCGGTCACAATGTGTCGAAAGCGGCCGGAGCGCGCGACTCGTAAATAATTCGCGAGGATTGTCAAAAAGAGAACGCGCGCGCGCGCGCGCTAAAGTGACGATGAGGAGCGCGGAATGACGCACCCGAGATTTATCACCGGCATGCCCGGCGAGCCAAGTAATTATGTCTCGGTGTTCTCGGAGCACCGGCGGCCACATTATTATCGCGCGGACCAAAGTGATAATCGACGGCAGATGCTCGGATCTTATTATTCGCCGTCGCGATGGTACACGATATGATGATATATCTCGCGGAACAAGTCGCCCGCAAGAGGTGGAGAGAAAACGAGAAAGAGGCGACCTCCGATAAAACGACAAACGTGCCGTTGATGTTCTCCCCGCGAACGTTAAACTGCAATTTAAGGACATGCGTTTTATAAATGATCAGGTCGTGCGCGAACGTGTTCGGAAGTGGGATACGAGAGAGCGACAAGTGTGTGCAAGTTTGCGCTCCGAGCCAACGCGGCTCGGGAAACCGATATCAATTGATATTCGGTGGGTGGATAGGTAGGAGGGAGGGCAGGAGGGAGAAGGGACGACTGTTCGATACGGCGAGATCTCGCGAGCCCACACACACACACACGTACACAGGTGGGATTTCATCGCGCGGCGAATTTTGCGTCCTCGGTGCCGCGCGCGCGCGCGCGCGCATTATATCCCCTTCTCCTCCGCCCCTCCAATTTCGCAGTAAGTCGCGCAATTAACTGCGTGCGCTATTCGCCGATATTCGCAAATAAGAAGCGAAGAAAGAACGAATAGGTGCGATGTAAATTCAGAGCGAGCCGCGAAACGAAGTCGCTCGGCCGATCAACGCCGACGGAGAAAATCGTCTCTCGGGAAATATCGCGCGGTCGCGAGTTTCTCCCCGCGAATTCTCACGCCAATTCGCGTGCGCGCGCGAATCTATTTCCCATTCTTCCAGCGAGACGTATCGCGCAGCATTTCAGAAAATCGAGAGAACGGTTTGTGCTCTCGACACCTTAGCCACGAGCGAGCGAGAAACCGAAACGTCGCACAGTGGAGCCAGATGACACTCTTTGCTTCAAAATTCTCTAGAGACCTGAATTTCCAACCGATCATCGACACCAATGTGGATGAGGTTGATCCTGAATAAATTCCGAAGAGATCTGTCTTGCCAAAATTTAAAAAAATTTTTTTTTCTCCAATTACTAGCCCCCAAAAGAGGGAAAATTATCGTTAAACGCGAGAAACTTGTAAAATACTCATTATTCGACACTTATCTTTTGATCTAATAGCGTATTCAGCGGATTGAAACCAAGAAAGATACTTTCTGTCTCCGTATGATGGACTTATGAGCTGAGGTTTATAAGCTTTGGGCTCATGGACCATCAAGTTAGGGTTGGATGTTTTGTTCAATGTTCTCCGTGTTTTTACTTATTGGCTCCGTACGGCTTAATTCTATCTCAATGTAGGCTGAAATGATGAGCTTTGAAAGTTTGAGTTTTCTAAAAGGTGATTATAAGTTCTGGGGTCTCGCATTTAGTATCCATAGGCTCGAACCCCAGAAAGACACTGTACTTTAAACGATATAATCTTTTAAGACAAACCCTAAACCCATGAACCCTGAAGCGATAATTTTTTCAAAATTTCCAGACAGACTGGACAGATCTCTTCGGAATTTATTCAGGATCAACCCCTCATCCATTGGTGTCGATGATCGGTTGGAAATTCAGGTCTCTAGAGAATTTTGAAGCGAAAAATGTGCATCTGGTGCGTCGGTTGAGGAGAAGCGACTCTCCTCGCATGCGCTGCTTCATAAACACGGTTAAGCGCATTCGGCCGAAGATGCGTAGTGTAACTCGATGAAACCATTGCGCCAATCTAACGAATAGCTTACCTTCCCCTGCATAATCAGCCGGATGGTCAGGGTGACCGAGGGATCGTCGTTCAGCACCGGCTTGTTGTCCATGCCGTCCATTGCGAGGTTGCGGATCCTGTGGCTTCGATGGGAGATTTTCTCGGAAGGGAGGGGTGCGGAGGAGGGCGAGGAGGACAGGGGAGAGGTTAGACGAGTGATTTTGGCCGGGGGAGTCTCGGGGGACGTGCTTCTCAAGCGTTCCCAGATATGCTCAGTCCTTGCACTGAAATCAGAGACACGCGTCCGTTGTGAAATCCGACTTGCGAAACGAAAGCCGAGGTGTCACATCACATCTCTCGCCGCTCTCGAGACAATCGGCAGTCGCTTCGTCGAGTGGCCTGTGTATCGCCTAATAGGCAGAATTGAGAAAAACCGCCAATACCTGCTATCTTATCTTAATTCGCGATAAACGTGTTTATATATCTGGGCTATTTATTTTTTTTATCGCGCGCTTGGCTCTCCTCACACACGCACGAGAATCGCTCGGCGGAACTATGCTTGTACAAACAACACACGTTTGCGAACTGTCTCCGACTGTCTCTCCTCGAGCGAGCGGTGCGATCGAAATAATGAGGAAAATTCAGCAGCGGGATTAGAAGGGCGTGCTAGAGGGAGGAAAACAGATGAGAGAAAAATTGTGTAAAGTCGGGATAATGAAGGGGGGAATCTTTATCGTATTCTAGAGTAAACTTGCAAAACCGATAAAATTCGCAGACTCGATGCCCCGTACAAGCGGCGCGAGAGAGAGAGAGAGAGAGAGAGAGAGAGAGAGAGATCACCGGCGGAATTTATTTATCGGCGTGTTGAGAATCCGCGGAAACGGACGGTCTGGAGCAAACTTCGAAATTAGCATAACAATAGCACGCGGCCGACCCGCCGACGAAGCGCGGCGCGATTTCAGGAATGTGATACACCACTTTATTAAGTTAGGTGAATCTGGAAATTATCAGACGATAGCAGAGTCTGCGAATGAAGCTGGTCTCTCGCTGTACTACCAGGCGCGTTTGGCAAATAAAGGCGAGTCGAGTTTGTCGACATCTAATATCTCCGATCGAGTCCGTCTCGCCTCGCGGAAGTCCCCCGTGCTATCCGTCGATGGCACGAAGCTCCACAACGTCGCGGGTTATCAAAAGCAAGTAACAGAATGCATGAATCTGCCGAACTGCGACTTAAATCTTTTTTTGCGTCAAGGCTTCAAGGGCCGCCACTCGCAACGTCGAGCGAAGTGAACATCGTTTTCCCGAATCACGGACGCTCGAGTCGGCAATCTCATTTCGGCGCGACACTTTCACTCCGCCGGGCAATCGGCGAACGAAAATGAAATTTAATCGCCCGCAGCATCGACATCGGCGCGAGGTAAGCGTTCTCGCGACTTTTCGCGAAATGCAACGCGGGCGGTTTCGCGAACGCCCGCGTCAGCGCAACATCGGCGGAGGCGCGCAAAAATCGCGCGAGCCTTATTGTGTCGCGGCGGTAAAAATTCGCGGATGAAACTGAAGGATGAGGGGGACGACGGAGGTCACAAACGCGCTTCGACCGACTCGCGATTAATTCACCAACGCGAGACCACGCAAGGTGGAAACGGTTAGCGCAAGCGAAACCGACACGATTATCTTATCTGACAAAACAAACATATGTGAGTGAGGAACGGAGAAAGAGGGGAGAAAGAAGGAGAGGGCGAGAGAAAGAGAACGCGGTAAACCAATAACTCAAATTAAAATGTTAACAGTCGCTTCTCGGCGACTGATGACGCGTTTAAATTTTTCTCGACCTCCCTCGCGAGACGCTCCATCCGCTCGGAAAACCGACGGCGCGGCGGCGCGAAAGGGTGAGAAATTGCGATAAAAAAAAATTAGAGGTGAGAGAACCCCAAACGGAGAAAGAAGGTCAAAAGCGTACGCGCGGGCGCGATCGGGCGCATTATTTTTCAGCCAGCTAATGTTAATTGCAGTCGCCGCTGCCGCGCCTCCGCCGCTGCCGCCACGGTTGTCGAGAGAGACCAACGATCGATAGGTTGCTGCAAATGCAGCGGCGGACAGAACTTCTCTCTGCCGAGACGTAGGTACCCCCCCCCTCTCTCTCTCTCTCTCTCTCTCTCTCTCTCGCTCTCTAAAGGAAAACACACAGAGAAAGGGATGGAGAAAGATGGAAGGGGGACCTCACCGAGAACCCCCTTCTCTGAATGAGGGGCCCCTACGAGCGCGACGTGGCCACGAGACAGGACAGGTTTGCTCGATGTTGGTCCGTTACGAAGTGCAGAACGCGTTTCTGCTGGTGGTTTGCGCGCGCGCGCGCGCGCAAATATACGCGCACGATTCTCGCGCTCACACGCACGCGGTGGACTTCCCGTAAGAAAATTGCCGCGTCAGAATTTTCCGCCACAGTGCGCGCGTGCGAACGGCACAGCCGGGAGGAAATCCGCAATAATCACACGTTGAGTCCAAAGTTGCCGTATGGTCTCTCTCTCTCTCTCTCTCTCTCTCTCTCTCTCTCTCTCTCTCGCGCTCGTTCGCTCACACGCTCGAAACTCGCGCGCGCGCTCGCTCGCTCGCACAGCTAGCGATCCGCGCGGCTGCGGGAGGAGATCGGCAAGTTGAGTTTAATTTTAAATATGACACCGCATTGGCGAGAGAGCAAAGAAAAAAAGAAAAGAGAAACAATTTGCGAGACGTGAGAGACTTGACGCAGGCAAAGTCCAGAGCTTCTTACGCGAGAGCTCGTGATCGTCGTGCGAGAGCAACTCGAATCGATAGCGCTCGTTTTCAGCGCGAAAGTACATTCGGGATTTTGTACGAAAGTAAAACCAGTCGAGCGTGTTAGAAATTCTCGCTGCGAACGTCGTTACAGGAACGGTAAGCGGGAAGACTGATAAAACCGTGCGCAAAGACCCGAGGAGGAGTCCCCACTCCACAACTCGTGAATCCTTGCTCGCAGTTTCCGATCGATAAATGCTCATGTCAAATACAACAACGTAACGTTTAAGCGAGAGACTCGCGACGGGAACGTTTTCATGTTTGTTTTCATGTTGTGTGTGGAAGCAAAAGTTTCCAACGCCCTCGCGAAACGCGGCCTCGCGTTTGCGGTGCGGATCCTCTCTTGCTCTCTCATTTCGGAGTTTCGGATCAATAATGTCCATTTCGGGCGCGACGTTACGTTCCAAAGAGAAATCCGCGATGAAAATGCGAACGGTAGGCCGAAACAGAGTCCCTAACGTTCGTCTCGGCACGGCGGAGCGGCGAATCGACGTCCACTTTAAATGCGAGATTACATCGCGCGCTCGAGGAGGCGACCGAACGGGAAGAAGATTCCTCGCCTCTCGAAGAGCGAAACGTTATGTAAATCTCTCGCGCGGATTCTGCGCTCGTTGCGAGCGTCCATTTCAAACGTCTCCAACAACGGTAACGGATTCGTGTCGCGCGCGAGATGCGATAAAGCCGAAGAAGCCGGGGGGCTCACACGTGTCACGCATTTTCCTTCCACGTTGCGTATGCGTTTAATCGCACTTCGCGGCCAGCCCTGTGGAAGTTCACTCGTTCATTTCACTTCCGAGCGTAACTTTCCGAGCTAATCGTCGTCGTCGTCGACCTCGCCGGTAACGTCAACTCGCCGCTGACGTACATTAGCTTTTGCGACGATCCTCGAGCGCGGCTACGAGATTTCCACTATTTTCCGACCTGATTATGCCCGTGACGAATGCTCGCGTGTATCACCGAAGCTATTCGCCGTGCGATAAACGCTCTCGCTCTGTCTCTCTCTCTCTCTCTCTCTCTCTTCAGCTATTCATTTTATTCACACCGCCGCGATTGTAATTATCGTCGGATTATTCGCGCGAATTAGCGACGCGTTTACGATTTAATAATTTCGAGCGGATATCCTCCTCTGTGCAATTTTACACGCGACCCGTATGTGCGTGCGCGCGCAGTATTTTTCGCGTTTCAGACTATTCGAATAGAGAACATTCCTCTTTACAATTTTGCAGAAATTAACAGCCGAGGCGTGGGGAAGCGCGATAAACGCACCGCGTCGCACTTATCAGAAGCGGGGAATATGCGCGGCGTTATCCTTCTCTCTCTCTCTCTCTCTCTCTCTCTCTCTCTCTCTCTCTCTCTCTCTCTCTCTCTCTCTCTCTCTTCTAATCGGCCATGCACGCAGGCTACTGCAGCCGTTTCGCTCTGCTGCAGCTCCCGCGATGCAATTGGACTGTGGAATTTAGTGCAATCCGCGAGCGCGCGTTCCGTTATGCGTGCGTTTAGCATAAGCGCAGTTTAACGACGCAGCCCCGCCAAAAGGCCAATCGTATAAACCAGAATTACGGTTGTTACCGCCGGCGTTCTTTTCAATTATTCGCCGGTACTCCACGAGACGCCGCGGGTCGTTGCACGCGTGCGCGCGCTCCTCTGTAAATCACGAAACATAATTCGCAAACGTCTCCGTCTTCCTCTCGCTCTCCCCCCTCCCCTCTCTCTCTTTCGAGAGAGAGAGAGAGAGAGAGAGAGAGAGAGAGAGAGATCCATCCGTGTGCGACCCTATCGTGCGATACGTTGCGTCGCTCCTGTACGAGCGAACCTTTCCCGTCCGCGTCGCGGAGAACGTCCTTTCTCGTCGCGAGCACGTCGATCTCATTCCTCGTCGTCTTCGTCGACTCGAAGAGCACTCGTCAGAGGCTCGGCGGACTCCGGCGCGAAGTTCGCCCGACGGAGCGATACGGATACGAGATAAACGGGTTTTCATGTAACCCGCATAAACTGGCTCCTCTCGCGCTATCATTACGCGCGTGTAAACGCACACACGGCGCGCGTTTCCAACCCCCGCCGTCCCGCGGAATGAGCCATTTAAAGGCGAATTATCCAACCCTCGCGTCGCGCGTCGCCGCGTGGAGACACGTGGATCTCGGCGGAGACTCTCTCTCTCTCTCTCTCTCTCCCTCCCTCCCTCTCCATCTATCTGCGTCCCTTTCTATCCGCGTCTCGCGCTTCTGCCCTTTGAGCTCTCGGAAGCTTCTTTTTTTCCCCTCAAATCCGCAACTTTCATTACTCGTCATCCTAGTACTTCTCTCTCTCTCTCTCTCTCTCTCTCTCTCTCTCTCTCTCTCTCTCTCTCTCTCTCTCTCTCTCATCCTTCTTCGGCCCGTCGATATTTGCCGAGACGCACGCCGGCGCGTCGTATTTCGGCGAAAGCGCGCGACGTTATGAATTCAAGCTCGTTTCATGTTTCTCGCGATTCTCCAGGCGCACGTGCGAGTCACTCGCGCGAGCAACGTAAATCGGCTGCTGCCTTCCGTATCTCCCGTCGGCCGGCGACGGACAACAGCCGGCCTATCAGTGCCAACTATCACGGCGAGATAAGCGTTTACAATTGAGCATTTTACAGTTATCGCAGTTATGTCCGTTCAAGGGCTCGCGACAGCGTTTTATATCACGCGGCCGCGGATGCAGCCCGAAAATTCCTTCCTCGTTTGGCGCGGCGCAGCGGTCGCAGCGTCTCCAAGAGTCTCTCTCGTTTCGGTCGCGAGACCGTAGTACTTCCTTTCTGTCTCGTCGCCAAGTACTTTCGCGAAGCCAGGCACGAAGAGGCCCGACTGCGGTACTAAATGCATACGTGTGCAATGCATACGTGTGCAATTGTCCGAACACCGTGGCGCGGCCGGAGAATTTCCTGTGAGTGAGCGAGCGAGCGAGCGAGCGAGCGAGCGAGCGAGCGAACGAGCGAGGAATAATTACGGCGCAGCGCAGGTCAGAAAACGGCATTGTTCGTCGACGAAGAGGAGCACGCGTTCGTTCGTTCGTTCGGCGTATATCGAGCGCGTAGAAAAAGGCACGCAGATGCGAAACAGTCGTGGACCAGCGGCGGTACAGTCGCTGGCAGAAAGAAACCAATGACGACGACGACGACGACGACGAGTTTCATATATCGCGTCTATCCTTCTCACTTCTCTTCTTCTCCCTCTTCCTCGCGGTTCCTCTCTTCAATAGTGCCCTACCGGAAACTGGTCGCGCCAAGCGACGCTAATTCTGCACGAAAAGTACTGCTCCGCTCGACCGAAGCACCGAGCGAGTCACGTTGCAGCCTCCGTCGCGACGAGAGAGGACGAACAACGATCGAGACGAACGACGTGGAATATTGAAATATCGATTTTCTCGCGGCTCCATCGTCAACACTGCAACAAAATCACACTGCCGATATAATCGCTCGAGATTCCCTCGAATCACGCCCGCGACGATCAAATGTTCATTCCTCGTACAATCGCACGGGGGAGAGATCACATGGACAAAAATGAAATGAAGTCATTAATCGCTCGGCATATAACCGACGCGGCTTGTATCCGAGTGCCGGGAAGTACAAGCCCGAACCGAAATAAGCGAGTCTCTCTACATCGCCGACAGAACCGTGGCGGAGGGGAAGGAAGAGGAGGAGGGATGGGGGGAGGGGGGACAGCGGCGTATCGCCGGCACAGTAGTTAATCCGGATCGTCGGTGCAACTGGGTGCATGTGAGAGAGAACCGATCGTTCGATCTGGCCCGCCGCCTCGCCGTATCGACTCGCACGGCCAACCGCGAGCGCCCTGAGAGATACGAGAGTGTCGACGTCGCTATCGACGTGTAAGCGAGCGAGAACACAATAATGCCGGGAAATCGCCGCCGCCGCCGCCGCCGTTTCGCGCCTTCGATATTCGCCTACACGGCCTACACGGCGAATCAACGAGCGACGAGGAGCGGCCTATCGCATACCGTCGTTATTCGGCGGCTCGCATGGCGCGTGCCGGTAGAGCGTCGTCGCTTTAATCCCGACGCCATGCGAAACGGCGACCCGCCGTGCGAGCGAGCGAGAGAGCTGGAAAGAAGAGAGAACGAGAGAGAACGAGAGAGAGAGAGAGAGAAAGATAGACGGCGGGAGGGAGGGAGAGAGAGAGGGGAGAGAGAGAGAGAGAGAGAGAGAACGACGGAGGGGGGAGAGAAAGAGCAGCGGTCTCTCGTCGAGTTTCCTAAGAATGCCTCGTGTCCTTCGTAATACGTATCTGCATGCCTTTCTCAGCACGAGCGCACTTGGCCGTTCCGTTACTCGTTGCAGTGGCCGAATTCAACTCAGCCAGTTACACGTATGTCCGGTTATTCGCGGACTAATATCAGCGTCGAGAACACGCCGGCGTGTCCGGTACGATGATGGCGCACGCACAGAATGGCTCTTCGTCGCCACGAGCTCCGACATCGCGATCGCGCTTGATGATCGTAGGTGGTCGTGGTCGTCGTCGTCGTCGTCGTGGTCGTCGTCGTCGCCGACGTCGTCGTCGTCGTCGTCGTCGTCGTCGTCGTCGTCGATGTCGATGTCGTCGTCGTCGTCGTCGTCGTCGTCGTCGTCGTCGTCGTCATCGTCGTCGTCGTCGTCGTCGTCATCTCGTCGCGTCGCCGTCGCCGCCGCCGCCGTGGTCGCCGTCGACGAAGACGTCGTCGTCGTCGTCGTCGCCACGGTGGCGGTCGTCGGCGTCGGTTTTCGGCGATCGCGAGTACGGGGCGCGGTCGCGCGCGCACGCAGAAATAATCTGAATGATTTACCTAAATGCACACTACTCAGTCATCGGGGAGAGGTACGGGCGGCCTCATCGACGCCACACTGCACACTGCGCGGAAACGGGGAGGGGTGAAGAGAGAGAGGAAGAAAAACACTACACTCTACGCGACACTTGCAAAACTGCACCACCTCGACGGAACGCGAACGAGTCTGCCTCCGTTCCCTCTGTCTCTCGGCCAGTTCCGTCCGCTTCCGACGATGCGCGGCGCTGCCTGCGTCGCGCTTGTGTCGACGTCGCCCGCAAGTGGCGCCGCCGCGCGCCTCACCGGAAACTGCGCGCTCGCACGGACTGCGCGCGCACCTCGCTCGTTTGCAGCGGGATATATGAACGCGCGCGCGCGCGCGCGCCGCATCTGCTACTCCGCGACGATATATATACTTTCGCGTTTCTCTTTCGCTCTTTTACATGAAGATTGTTTCGAGAGAATTCTGAAATGGTTATCTTACTTATTTCTTTTATTATTCAATTAGCGGCTGTCTCGCGCGCTTTTGCACGATTGTGTGTCATCGATCGTCGCGCGTGGTTAACGTAACGATGATATTACGAAAGATTCAAGCTTTCTGCGCGAAAAATCAAAGGACGTTGAAGTTTCTCTTGGAAATTTTTCTATTTTGATGCTTCGGGGAAGGAGGATCATTTTGTGAAATTATTTCGCCAAATTCGCGCGATTGGCGGTTTTAGCGACTGACACGCACGGCTGAAGGAATCACGCTGGAACACGGGAGATGCGCGCAGTTGCGTACCTCGTGTTATTAAAAAGGCGCAATTATTATAGATACGTATTTTAGCGCTGTTCTTCAATTCTTTCCGCTTCCGATCTAATTATGCAGCCCGCGGCTAATATTTCCCGTGACATTTAATATTAATGACGGATTACATCGCGTGTTCCAAAACAATTCGGACTAGATGCATTGTTCGCTGTTAATTGTTTCGCATGCCCACGCCGCGTTACCCCGCGAATGAGTCTAACGGACGTCCAACGAAAACTCGATTACCGCGTTCCCCAACTCGTTCTCTGTGATAATTCAACTTTCCTCTGGACTTGAAGGACGGTCAGTTAAATGGGTCGCACGCCGAAGGCGTAAAAGTGAACGTTATCGAATCAAACTTGATAATGAAAGGGAGAAGAAGTCGAGGAATATGACACCGTGCGCTCTCAAGACAGTGCGCGTGCAATTCCGAGCGAACAAACGAACGAACGAACGAGCGAACGAACGGGCATTTTTTTCTCGGCGATACGCGTCGAATATTTTCGCAGCCACCGAGTGACGGAAGCCCGAAAATTTGGAGCCGAATTTTTCTGAGACCGACTGACGTGCCGCCGAACCAAGCAAAGTCATTCGCAGCGAAAACAACTTTTAGCAAAAAATGTTTTATTTAAATTGTTCGCTGCTGGAGTAGAAGCGATTTGACTTTGAACAATAATAAAAGGAAGATTCTCGTTTCAAACGAACATGTTTTTTCACCTTCGTTTTCGGGCCGAATAACTCTCGCATTCCTGTCACAAGAAAAATATTTTTATTTCGAATTGTTTTCTCCCGCGTTCTAAACAATGTGACCATGCTTAAAGCTGTAAACAAAGGAACGTTTTAGAACATGTGGGAATGCGCTCTCCTCGCCGACTTAACTTCGGCAAATGGAATTTGCGTCACTTGTCTGGGGATAAAAAAACAAAGCAAGAGAGAGAGAGAGAGAGAGAGAGAGAGAGGAAGAGAGGAATGAGTAGAAAGATAATTTCGTTCATACATAGAGGTAGATGCGCGACCACGACTTCTCTTACTCCGTCGCTCGTGGAAGGCCATTATGACGACAACGGTATGCCACAGGTACGAACGCAACCAGGAATTTAATTATCATTTTAGACGGCGCGGAAAGCAATTATCGGAAATTTAGTTTGCGATGGTCAATGGAAGCTCGCTGCTAGTGCACGATAGTAACCGCTGTTGCTTCGACATCGCCGAGCGAAAGAGCGAGCTCATTAGAGAGCTCTTTTTCGCGAACATTTCGGCCAATGCGAGCGTTTGCCTCCTCACTTTGCGTTTCAAATCGTATTCACGTCGTCGCGCAGAGTCGCAGAGTCGTCGCAGAGTCGTCGGTTATTTTTCAACTCCCAGTTAAAAGTCGATCTCTCTCCTCCGATGATAGACCGTAGTGGACGATCATCGTCTCTCGTTGTTGTTAATTATGCAGCATGCGATAGAACAAAATGATTTTGATGTAGTCTAATTTTATCAGGAAACGAGATCGCGCATTGAAATGCGCGCGAAATACACGCGACGTGTATTATAGTAAAATAAAAGATACGATCTCGCGATGCGTTTGTTTTGTCAGGCTTAATTCATCAAACGCGCGCGCGCGCGCGTATTGTTAAGGTACAACAAGCATCGATCGCTTGCTCTTAATAGATACAAATTGCTTTTTCTAAAAAAGGAGGACGAGTTTCGACATGGATTTTCAATTTTTCCCCTGGCCGTCGCCGCCGCCGCTGGGACACGCGTCCGTAATGTGTCTCTGTACGGAGAAATGTTACGTTACGCGACTCGATCTATTGACAAATTTCCATCGGACAAATACATGTATTTATCTGTATCGTTCTCAAATTTTATGAAAAAAAAAAAAAAAAACATCCCGCAGAGAACAATAGTCTGTTTTCAATCGACACGAACGATGCATCCGCATTGACTGTGGGTTAAAAAAATATAATCGTCACAAAGTGATCCGAAAACTGAAGATCTGAAAACTCGGCAATCGCAAGAAAGTTTATTATGTTTAGACCGTAAATATCGCGCGCGCGACGATCACCTCGTCAGAATTCGTTCAATTTTCCGATCAAAGAATATGTACGCAATTTTTTCTCGCTGGATAAATTTACTGAATTCACACGCAAATCTAAGAGCTTCTTCCATCTTCCTGTCAAATCTACTCTGGATTCGCACATGTTGGAAGAAAAGTAAGATTTGAGAATTGCCATGGGAATAATTTGTGATAATCGTCGTTTGCTACTTTTGCTACTTCACGTTACCTTGGACAAGATTTCATTACAACCGCCGCAATTAATTTGATCAATGCAATATTCCGCATTGTCGGAAACTCGGTCTTCCAATTCGGAATTTGGGGGGGAGGGAAACAGAATCGAAAGCGTCCACGCAGATACTAATATAGATATAAACCGACGCACGCGTTAGTAAATGTGCGCACGCGAATCGAACAGCATTCAGCCAATTCGGAAAGTTGCTATTGTCGGCAATCTAGGCCAATTAGGACGTAACCCCGAGTTCTCTGAATGCGACGACTCGCGCAGAAAAAAAGAAAAAAAAAGAAAAAGGAGAAACCGCTAATAGATCGCGACAGCGACGTCGTCCGCATATTTCAGAACGAAGCGGAGGAGATAATGACGAAGACGACGATTCTGGATCGATCCTTTTTATTAATTGCCCCAAGCCGGAAACACGACGACGCACTAATGAAGGCGCCGTAGAAACGCGCTCGCGCATCGGCGAAACCCCGTCGAATGTTTACATTATCGGCGAAACGTACAGCCACGTAAGCGGCATGAATAATTTATTTTATAACCGGCCGATCGCGCGCGCGCGCGCGCGCGCGCCCGCAAAAAGCGATGCTCGTAAACGTGAGCGCCTCGTAAAGGCGACGAGGGAGCTCGACGAGTGACGTCGACGTGAACGGAGATTGGTCATGAAGACCGAATCGTTAGACCATTACGCTGCGTCTCGCATCGATTAACTCAGTCCACGTCTCGTCGAGTCGATTCCAAGTGAGCGGATCGAGACAAATGTCGAGCGCGAGAGAATGCCAGCAAGCGGTTCCTCGCTCTCTGCGCGAGGACTGCATCGCACATTAACTTGATTTTCAGCCGGTCGGCTCTCCTACGCCGAGTCGAAATCAGATGAAATCAAATAACGAACGAAAGACAGCTCGCCCTTCAACGGGCTGGCCCTTGAAGAAACTAGATACTAGGGGAGGGGGGGGCTGTTAGACATATGTACAAGAGAATAAATAAGAAAGAGATCGACGGGCCGAGACCGTACCGACCCATTTCGAACCCTCTTCACGGATACAAGATTGTTCGCTCGCTTCGATCGTAAATTTCAGCTTTCCTCCCCCCTGCGATATCGACCGCGAGTCGATATCCTCGGCTCTCGTTCTCTCGAAACGATCTCGGATCTCGGATCGCATTCTCTCTTTTGGCCGCGACCAAAATCTTTTCCCTCTTCTCCCTCAGCTGCTGCGCCCTCTCGCGATTTCACAGTCGATTCTTTGCTCGCGTTACGCGATTAAGCTCGATGACAGACACTGCTCGGGTTGGGTAACGACCGAGGTAAGACTTAAAGAAAACCAGGCGGCGATATTGCCGCAGAGCGCGAGCGCCGCTCGTTTTTCGCCGGGGCGCGGCGAGCGAGGAAGGAAGAGGTCGACGCGGGCGATCAAATGCTTAATGAAGTTTCTCGCGATCGCTTTCGCCGGGATTCAGCGAGAGCCAGGGTGGAAGTATCGCGGAACGGGGCGTTATTGGGTTTCGAGTTTCGCCCGGAGACATTAGAGCGTCCTGAAGCGCCCTGTGTCTAACGCTCGGTGTCTCGCGGCGGAATCTACTTAAGATGTAAACTAAGTTCGAATCCGGACTCGCTCGCGCGAGCGACCGCACATCGTGCCCCGAAAGAAGACTAATTCCGCGGTTTAAGCTCCGCCGGAGCTTCGCTCTCACTCGTCGGCACTCACGGCGAAATTGTCATCTTCCTCGCACCTTTGTCCGCCGCTCGCTCTCCTCTTTACCGCGATCCGCGTGACTTACGGTGACTCTCGTGAATCTTTAACGGCCTCTTTCCCGAGCTTAGAGAAGCGTGTCATCGATGTTTATTACGTTCGCGCCGGGAAAGTGTTTAGTTTCCGCACAAAGAGACTTTCTTATCGCGTCTCCACTACGTTCTCTCTCTTCTCTCTGCGCATCTCTGACCACGATATTTTATCATTCGTAGCACACTTTTTACACGTACAAATATAATAAAATTCATCCGCGGCTCTCTGACAGTTTGTTTCTTCCATAAACTCTAGAAAGTATTTTCGAAAGCGCCACGTCTTCTCATTTCTGCAACTTTTTCTCCATTCTTTTAAGCCAGCCAAGGGTCTTCGAGAGTTCCGTTTCCTCTTCGAACTACTGTCGTACTAAATATCGTAAAGAGCGATTTGTTGTTAGCGTTCAATTTTACACGCACCTGCAGGTATTCCTCTCGGAAAATATTTGCCCGGCTGGAGGAGGATTGCGTGTCAACGACAAAACCGTTGCAAGAATTATGAGCGAAATTACGACGCGACGTGGAGCGCGAGGAGGATGTAGACGACGCCTTCGGCTTCAGACGAGAGGCTGAAGGAGACTTTAGGGTTGACGGAAATGAGACGCCACTTGGTGTCGCGATAAGATCCCGACGCGAACACGGTTCGAGGGTGAACTTCCCTATCGGCGAAAGGGATGAAAAGTGGGAGAACGCGGTGTTGGGATAAGTCGCGCAGTTATTGAAGCCGTTCGCGCATGCAGCTATGGGAACTTTCGCGGATTTTCAGCTCGACTGCACGGTAAACAAATTTTTCGTGCGATATCTCTTACTTTTTATCATCTTTATATATATTTTTTATACTTTTTACTATTTATATATATATATATATATATACACATAGCCGTGCCCCGCTTCCCCCGTAATCTCTTCCTTCGTACGAGAAGATGAGAAATTCGCAAAGTTCATACTCGAGTCGCAAGAACCGCGCGCGGTGTCTGTTGAACATTTGGTTATTTGAAAACAAAATTCTTTCTCTTCTCAATTGTCAAGCATAAATCATAAGAGCAAGAGGGGCATTCTTTCGATTATCTTTCTTTCAAACGCTGACACTCCGTGGAATAACCTCTAAAAAATATACGACCGTCCTTTCTCGCGTATTGTTAGCGTTAACGCTCGAGAGAGGAGAGAATCGAGGAGTTCTCATTTTCACGGATTAAATACGTGTAATTTTACCGCTACGATTTTTTTGCCGGTAAAACCGAGCGCTCTTAAATACCTATGACCCGGGATGTGTGTTAGCTTCTCCGAATTGATCCCCCCTGGAACATTGCTGATTCCATGGTTGTGAGTTACGCTCACATAAATACGGCCGAATACGAAGAGGCGGTGTGTAGTACTTTCTTCTCTTTTTCTTTTTTATCCTCCTTTTTTCTTTCTCTTTTTCTCCTTTTATCGAGACGCGGCGATCCCAGAGCAGTAAAAGCCTGGGCGCTTTTCAAGAATCGCGCGCAAAAAATTTCGGTTTAATAAATTTCGCTGACTTTTATTACGGGCGCGACTGAACTTCCGGATTAACGAAGGTACAATCGCGGCGGCCGAAGCGCGGCGCGTTTCCCAGGTACCCCCGGAGAAGAATCCAAGAGAGGGCCAGAAAAAAGGTTATCGGGCGCTCTCCATTTCGGTGACGTGATTTAAGCGCTAAGCGTTC